ATATGAATCTTTCTTATGTTCTTGCTTTCCGTATTTCGTGACTGATCACCATTGAAATAAAATTATTATCCAAATTGAACTCGGGAGAGGAATAAGAGGATAGAACGTGGGGCATAAATGGATTGATTAATTCTAAATAGCTAGGGTTAATTTGTATCTAGGATAGGGATATACCTAGAAACCATGCTTGGGTCACCATACAAGAAAAAATGGTAATGCTCGATACTTAATCCATCTTATCCACGCTCAACGATGTAGTTAGGGTGTTATTTATCGTAGGCGATTAGAGGTCGGGAGACCATGATCATACATTAAACCATGTGATTCATTGATTTGATAATTGATAAATGCTCATATGAATGATATTGATTGCATGAATCCCGATAAAAGCTACAACCCTGGACTTTACCCAATCACTATTTTTAAACCCTTGAAATTGAATCGATTTTGTTACATTTTTTTATAATCTTAGAAGTAGAAACTAAATCACTTTTGAAATCTTGAGTACACTTGTGTTTAGCTGAAAATTAGAGAAGTTAAGTAATTTTAAGCGTAAGTCCCTATGGGTACTGTTGACACCCAATTTTGGACCCCACAATATAAATTAATCATTTCGAGCTTCTTCAATTTCAAACGATTTAAAATAATTAGTTTTTATAAATTTTGAAAAAATAAATAAATATAGTTTGCAAGTTGTTTTAAATAGTTTTTTCACTTTTTATAATTTTTAGATAATATATATGTTTTACATAATTACGCATATAATTAGTATATTTTATAAATATTTGAAAACCGCCCCAAAAGATTTTGTTAAATATTTGGTTAATTAGTTTGGTTATATAATAGTTTATACTTTGATTTATGTAGTTTATAATTAAGTTAATTATTTTATTTTTTTAACATTAAGAAGCTCATTGATTAATTTATATTAATTCGTCTTATTTAGTTTTAGCTGAATCACCAATTTAGCTCAACTTGGCTAAATTCTTAAATTCAATTGGCTATAATTGTAATCAAATGGACCTAATACCAATTCCAATTCAACCTCTTTTCTACCTTAAACCCACTTGAGACCAAACTTGGGCCTTACTTCCAATATCACCAGCATCCCACATTCCCATTCCAATTCCCAGCCCAAATTCAATTCCAAAGAAACCCATCAGTCCAAAATAATACAACGCTCCAACACCAACATACAATACATCAAACAGTACCAACCGACCCCTGTACACCATCTTCTTCTCCGCGTAAACCAGAAAAAACTCGACCCAGCAGCAGCAGCCTAGAATCGTGCAAAATCCAGTGGCCCGCGAGAACTCGAACCCATGTTGGGCAGTCCAGCAACTAACGAACCGGCAGTCCTGCTTACTCGCGCGTAGTCCGCGTTGTCTTCCTCTAATTCGTACGAGATTTGTAGCAAAACAGGCTGTCATCGTCATCGACTAGCCAGGTGGAAGCATCACATCGCTCCTCGTCCTTCGTTCAAGAATCGAACGGCTTTCCTTTGAGTTCCGTTGAGAATTTGTACTAGTTCTTGGTTGTCAACCTGATCTAAAAAGGATTTCGAATTTCAAATTTCGAAATTGGATCCCATTTTCCGAACCCTAGAAATCCCCTATAAATACCCTTTTTTCCATTCATTGTGAGGTGGTGGTTCTTCATCGAAAGAGGGGTTAGAAATTTTAATCGATATTCCGAAATTAGCTATAATACTACTGAGAAGATACAAAGGTTCTGAGTCTTATTTTGGTGGAAGAATCGTCTCTATGCTAGCTCGTTCTCCTAATTCGTTGCACTTAGAAAGGTAAACGTCATTTCTACTCGTATCATTTATTTCTTAAAGCTTGGGTTGTTTACTACTTGAAGATTGTAAGTTATGTAAAGGCTGAAATTTAGAAATAATCTTGGCCCACTTTTAGTTCAAAATCAACGGTGTTTCTTTGTTTTATGTATTTAAACTTTCTGGTTCATTTGGTTAGAAGTCTGGCCGACTTTATGTAGTTCTGAGTTATTCTTCTCTTTATTTTCTTATCGTGTCACTGATGATCTTGTTGGTCGGCTGTGGTTAGTGTGATCGTGAAACTTCTGGGTCTAGAATGTTGCTTCTCTCAGTCTGTTATACAGTGTTTGTTTCACTCGTTTTGCCAACATGAATCATATAGGTTGCGTAGTTTTACATCTTCTTTGTAGGATGTTTGTTAGGACTATATTCATTTTAATAGTATGGTTCGTATATTAGTTATTTGCAGCTTTAAAATCTCATTCATAATAACGTTAATTGTATAGGCTTCATCACATTTCGTATTGAGTCGATTCATCTCGAGTCCATCTTAGTTTGACTAAGTTAAAAAATGAATTAATAACGGTTGGAAGGTCAACTTGGGTCAGTGTGTTTTGTCCCGTTTTTCTACCATTCCGAGCTGCTTTGATTGTATTCCTTTCCCTCCACCTCCGTCATGCATCCTACTAAGTTTTGAAGCTTCAATTGATTGTAAAAATAAAGAAATAAATAAATTTTGGTTGTCCTACGTTTTTAGCAAAGCAGTAGCTTAACTTTCGCTTGTAGTCGTGACTCGTATGTTAGCCTTAATCAAAATCTGATCTACTTTTGCTCTTACAATGTTGTTGGACCCATGAATTTGTTCTTGTTAAGTTTTTACTTTTCTTCCAACAATAGTATTAGATAGAGGACATTTCATGTGACTTGCTTTTGCCTAAATTGATAATCATTTTCTCGTCCTTGTCCAACAATTGTGCATGCCTCTTTTTTCATGTGACCACTGTCCCCTCCTCCCTTTTTACTTTATTTATTTTATTTGTTTATCACCCTCATTTAGTATTATCTTGTCATATGAGGTTGTATCAAATCTAAGCGAGTATTCTTTAAATATTGTGTGCATTCCTTCGTCATTCTCGTATAATCATGGTATAGTAAACTAAGCATATGCATTTTTGCCTTATTTCTATTTTATATGTCTCGGTTGCGTTATATAGATTTAAAGTATGCTATATTATTAATTTTATCTTGTTTCATTCTTTTCTATGTATAAACCGACTCCTCCCGAGTCCTTGGAAACTCTTTGATCTTGCATTTCATTGATTGGGTCCTAGGGGGCCAATTCTATCTTCTATCGAGTCAGCCAGCAGGAAATGGAAGTAAAGGGGTTGGAAATCGAATTTCAGATTTCAAAAGGGGCCAAAAGAAAGGCTGACATACGCGCAGTATGCAACGATATACAGGCGGAAAACACAATGATATACAGGTTGACAAATCGAAATTGCAGGTTGGAATGTGCAAAAATACAGGCATACCGGACAGGTGGTGCAAAAGTGGGCCAAAGCCCAAGAAGACAAATTGGGAAATTAAAGGAGAGCAAGTGGGCTAAAAGGCCAACTTAATTGGATTTGGGCCAAAGTCCAACTCTAATAATTTCCTTTCCCTCACTTATTATTTATATTGTATTATTTGACTAACTTTGTTCATTTTATGGTTTAATTTAATTAAATTCCCGTAGATGGCCATTTCATTTTCTATCTTATTCAAATTAAAATATCTATATTTTAGCTCTATTTTTATTAGCTTTGTCATTTCCCTTTAGAAAAATCCCCTCCTTAGTTCATTTCCACCCTTTAGATAATTAAAATGTCAATAATAAAAAATAAAAAATAAAAAATAATAATAGTAATAAATAAATGAGTTTTTTTACTTAGTTAAAATTTCAAAATAAGTTGTTATGAGTTCTTTACTTAGTTAAAATTTCAAAGATTTGTTAAAATAAATGAGTTATTTTACTTAGTTAAAATTTCAAAATAAATTGTTATGAGTTCTTTACTTAGTTAAAATTTCATAATTAGTTAAAATAAATGAATTCTTTTACTTAAGTTAAAATTTTAAAATTAGTCAAAATTATTTTGGTTAAATAGTCTGTCAACCGCGAGTTAGCGGGCATTCCGAGGGCCTAACACCTTCTCGGAATGTACATTTGAACTCGAACCCTTTTTCAATTTATTTTATATGTTTAAGTCTTTTGAAAAAATCTTATATTTTTTCTTGATTTTTTACTAAAAATTAAGTGGCGACTCTGTTCTTTTGGAAATTCAATTTCTCTTAAATCATAAGTTTAATCGATTTTTTGAAAACTCAGTCATTTTCCTTTTACATATCTTCTTAAATAAAACAGGTACAATACCCGGCTCTCAAAAAGAGCCAATTTAATACTTGAACGACCAAGTGCACTTGCGTGTGTGATTTGGCCGCAACAAATTTTTGGCGCCGCTACCGGGGACTTCACAATTAGAAATTATCTGATTTTTCTGATTTCTGAAGTTAAAAAGCAAGTGTTGACAACTTGATCTTAGCAATTCATTGTTGCAGGTTAATCTGAAGTTTCAAACTGGCCGACGATCAAGGATTGGTGTCGCCTCTAGCTGAACCGAAAAGGTTTGTTCACTATCGGAGAAGGCAAAGACGACTTACTTATCCAGTCCCTCTTGTTGCTAGTGAACCGACATCTCCAGGATCAAGAGTTAAGGAAGAAGAACCTGAAATAATGGCTGAGTTGAGAGTAAGAGACATGGCAATCCTACGTCCCACCAATGTGACATCTTGTATTCTGAAACCTGAAACTAGTAGGAGGTTTGAATTGAAGTAGAGTATAGTGCAACTACTGCACACTAATGGGAAGTTCATTGGTCTGCCACACGAGGATCCAACAATTCACATTCAGAATTACCTCGAGATCAGTGATATGTACATTCCAGCTGGAATAAATGTGGATTATATGAGGCTCACTTTATTCCCTTTTTCTCTGCTTGGGGAAGCAAAAAGATGGTTAAACTCAAAGCCCACAAACTCAATTACCACTTGGAATGATCTAGCACATAAGTTCCTCATCTGATTTTTTCCATCTGGAAAAACAACTAAGTTGAAGAGTGACATTTTGAGCTTTAGGCAGAAAGTGGGAGAAAACTTGTACCAAACTTGGGATAGGTTTAAATCAATGTTGATGAGCTGCCCTCATCATCAATCTAATGAGGTGTTGGTCCATACCTTCATTGAAAGATTGGAGCCTAACACCAAGATTCTACTTGATTCAACTGCAGGTGGTCAGGCTTTGGAGAAGACATATGCTGAACTATTCACCTTGCTGAACAGGATCTCTCAGGGCAACCTTGAATGGAATAAGGGAGGAATAAAACATGTGATTCAGAAAACGACAGGTATGTTAGAGGTAGATGTTGTGACTGCCTTAACTGTACAAATTGCTACTATGCAGAATATGAGGAACACTCACTTCAACAATCTAGCATTGGGACAACAACCCGCACAGGTAAATGTTGTTCAACAATCACCATCTTGGTGTGAGATATACAGAGGTGGTGATCATAGTGTAGAGGTATGTGGTGCAAACCCGGACTTTGTGAATTTTGTAGGTAATGCCCAATGAGGAGGAGGACAACAAAATTATGGGAACTCATATAACCCAAATTGGCGCAACCACCTGAACTTTTCTTGGGGTGGAAATCAAAATCAGGGTCAAGGCTAGAATTAGTATAGACCCCAAGGAAATACACATGGGTACCAACAACAGGCCCAACGGGAGCAACCTAAACAACAATCTGGTAACATTAGCATGGAGGAGATACTGAAAAAGATTATGGTTGATCAAGCCCAATTAGTTGCTGATGCAAGAAATAATCAGTTAGCTATATAGAATTTGGAGAAGCAATTCGGGCAGCTGGCTAGTGCCCAAATCTCACGACCATAAGGAGGTTTGTCAGGTAACACTGACCCAAATTCCAAGCAAGTAAATGTAGTAGGTACTCACAGTGGTTTACAATTGGAGAAGTTAGCTCCTAAGAAAAGAAACATTGATCCTGTGAATAAAGAGAGTGAACCCAAGGAGGGAGAAATTGTTGCACAAAAAGAAAGAGTGCAACCAATTGTGAAACCACCTCCCCCATTCCCTCAAAAGTTCAAGAAGCAGAAGAAGGATGAATGTTTTGGTAAGTTCCTCTCTCTTTTGAAACAAGTTCACATTAACTTGCTATTGGTAGATGTTTTGCAGGGTATACCCAGGTATACGAAATACGTGAAGGAGATTGTGGCGAATAAAATGAGGCTGATAGAGTATGAGACTGTTGCACTTACTGAAGAGTGCAGCTCCAGAATCCAAAATAAATTACCCACTAAATTAAAAGATCCGGGTAGCTTTACGGTTCAAATCACTATAGGGCAGAGCATTTATGCGCGAGGATTGTGTGATCTAGGAGCTAGTATAAATTTGATGCCGACTTCTTTGCACAAAAAGCTGGGGTTGGGTAGTCCTAAACCTACTACCATTATCTTACAGTTGGCTGATAGATCTGTAGTTAGGCCTAAGGGTATTGTAGAGGATGTGCTAGTGCAAGTGGGATCATTGATTTTCCAGTAGATTTTGTTGTGTTGAACTTTGAGCAAACCCTGAGGTCATATTCATCCTAGGAAGACCTTTCTTGGCTACTGGGAGGGAGATGATAGATGTAGCTGGTGGGCAACTCACTATGCGGGCCCATGATAAAGGTGGAGGTTTTCGATATGTATAAAGCTTTAAAACTGCGAGCAGTGTATGAAGAGTTGTCTGCCATAACTGTGATAGATCTTAAGGCAGAAACTCGCTACATTGCATCTAAGGCCCCTCTAGAGCGAGTGTTAGTGGGGGATGATATTTATGGGGATGCTGAGGCACATGACATTGTGCAATTTCTTGATGTGGCACTTATAGGTACATCTGGAGATCGATGAGAGCCTCTAAATAGGTTGTTGGGTCCTCTACCCAAGCCCTCCATTGAAGAAGCACCTAAGCTGGAGTTAAATGCATTGCCAGCCCACCTCAGGTATGCATTTTTGGGTGAAGATAAAACTTTACCGGTTATTGTTTCTGCAGCATTACCTGATGAACAGGTGGAAGCAACATTAATCATCCTGAAAAAGAGGAAAGCAGCTTTGGGGTGACAAATGTCCGACATCCATGGTATTAGTCCCGCGCTGTGCATGCATAAAATATACATGGAGGAAGGGCATAAGCCGAGTGCACAACATCAGCGGAGACTAAACCCATTGATGAAGGATGTGGTGAGAAAAGAGGTAATCAAGTGGCTGGATGTAAGGATTGTGTACCCAATATCAGATAGCAAATGGGTAAGTCCAGTACAGTGTGTGCCCAAGAATGGAGAAATGACGATGGTAACAAATGAGAAGAATGAGTTGATCCCCACAAGAACAGTGACTAGGTGGCGGATTTGCATGGACTACAGAAAGTTGAATGACGCCACTAAAAATGACCATTATCCAGTACCTTTCATTGATCAAATGTTGGATAGGCTGGCAGGTCAGGAATATTACTGTTTTCTTGATGGTTATTCAGGGTATACTCAGATCATCATTGCACCAGAAGATCAGGAGAAGACTACATTCACTTGCCCGTATGACACGTATGCGTTCAAGCGCATCCCATTTGGCTTGTGTAATGCCCCAACCACATTTCAGAGATGTATGATGGCAATCTTCTATGATATGGTGGAGGATTTTGTTGAAGTGTTCATGGACGACTTCTTGATGTTTGGTGAGTCTTTTGAAGTTTGCTTGACTAATCTTGACAAAGTTCTTGCCAGGTATGAAGAAACAAATCTGGTGCTAAACTGGGAGAATTGTCACTTCCTAGTTCGAGAAGGCATTATGTTGGGGCACAAAATCTCCAAAAGTGGGCTGGAAGTTGACAAAGCTAAAGTGGAAGTTATTGGGAAGCTGCCACCTCCCATCACAGTAAAGGGAGTTAAAAGCTATCTGGGACATACTGGGTTCTATAGGAGGTTCATCAAAGACTTCTCTAAGATTGCAAGACCTATGTGCAGCCTGTTAGAGAAAGAAATGAATTTTGTGTTTGATGAAAAATGTTTGCAGGCATTTGAGCTGCTGAAAAAGAAGTTGATTGAAGCTCTTATTCTGATTGCTTCAAATTGGGAGCTTCCTTTTGAGCTTATGTGTGACACAGTGACATAGCTGTTGCGACAGTACTTGTGCAAAGAAAATAAAAGATGTTCCATTTCATCTACTATGCGAGCAAAACACTTGATGCGGCTCAGTCGAATTACACTGTGACTGAAAAAGAGATGCTGGCATTAGTGTTCGCAGTTGATAAGTTCAGATCATATTTAGTGGGAGCCAAAGTTATAGTCTACATTGATCACATTGCAGTCCGATACTTGTTTAACAAGAAGGATGTCAAGCCGAGGTTGATTAGGTAGATTCTGCTACTACAAGAGTTTGATCTTGAAATAAGGGACATGAAGGGAATTGAGAACAAATAGCTAATCATCTGTCCAGACTGGAGGATTCAAATCATGTGAAGAATGAGGGGTAGATTCGTGAAGAGTTTCCTGATGAGCAATTGCTTGCATTGGACATTGCTCAAGTGCCTTAGTATGTTGATATTGTGAATTTCTCTGGTAAGTGGTTTATTTCCACCTGGGGCCTCAACACATCAAAAGCAGAGGCTGAAGTATGATGCACACTTCTATACATGGGATGAGACCTTCTTATTCAAGCAGAGACCTGATTAGATGATGAGAAGGTGTATAGCTGAACAGGAGGCAACACAAGTGTTGGAGAGTTGTCACTCTTCACCATATGGTGGACACCACGGAGGTGAACAAATTGTGCATAAGGTATTACAATCTGGTTTCTTTTGGCCTACTCTGTTTAAAAATGCTGCTTTGTTTGTGAAAGTTATGATCAGTGTCAGATGATGGGACCATTTCGATGAGGCATGAGATGCCATTCAGCAATATACTGGAGGTTGAGATCTTTGATGTCTGGGGGATAGACTTTATAGGACCATTCCCATCGTCCCGTGGTAATCAATACATCCTAGTCACAGTGGACTACGTGTCTAAGTAGGTGGAGGCAGTTGCACTACCATCCAATGATGCAAAAGTGGTTGTGAAGGTCTTTCGGAAACAGATCTTCACTAGGTTCGGAACTCTAAGGGCTATGATCAGTGATGGAGGTACGCACTTTATTAATAATTCAGTGCATAATTTGTTAGCCAAATATGGAGTGAGACACAAAGTGGCTACAACATACCACCCTCAAACTAGTGGGCAGGTGGAAGTGTCGAATAGGGAGGTCAAATAGATCCTCCAAAAGACTGTAAATGCCCAAAGAAAAAATTGGGCTGACAAGTTAGATGATGCCTTATGGGCATACCAGACTACATACAAGACACCGATAAGGACTTCTCCTTATCGAATGGTGTTTGGAAAAGCTTGTCACCTACTAGCTGAGTTGGAGCATAAGGCATATTGGGCGATCAAGAAGCTAAATCTGGATGCTGAGTTAGCCAGTAAGAAAAGAATAACACAACTGCACGAGTTGGAAGAATTTAGGCTTCACGCTTACGAAAATGCTAAGCTATATAAAGAGAAGACCAAGAGGTGGCATGACAAGCATATTGTGCCGCGCACCTTTGAGCCTGGTCAACTAGTGTTGCTATTCAATTCAAGGTTGAAGTTGTTCCCCGAAAAGCTTTGTTCTAAGTAGAGTGGTCCTTTCGAAGTGGTGAGGATGACCCAACAAGGTGTTGCGGAGTTAAGAAATAAGGATAAGAGTTATACATTCATTGTGAATTGTCAAATGGTCAAGCATTATTTCGAAAGTGATGTGGATCGTGAGCTTGAAACGCTCACATTGAATGATGAAAGAGTCATGAGATGAATCGTGCCATAACGTTAAATCAGGTGTTACACGGGAGGCAAGCTGTGAACCATTGTAATAGTTAGGATTTATTTGTTTTTACTTGGTTATTTTAGTTCTTAGGAATTAGTAAAAATAAATAAATAAATTATATATTAAGAAAAATACAAAAATATATGTCGTGCCATGACCAAAACAAAGGCACTGGATGAGAGGCAACCCATTATATTTTTTACTAATGGGTGCTGAGCTAAAAATGTGCAGGAAGAAGAAGTTTTGCCCAAGGCAACTCCGTTAAGGGACCGCGTCGCGGAGGTGAGGCAACATTTTGCCTGGCCAGGTCCAATTTAAGGCAGAAAGGTCCGTGAAGGGACCTCGTCACGGAGGGGGCCTCAAATTTTGGTTTCGACGGGACCTAGTGTTCACGTCAAGAAAAAAGGCTACTCCGTGCTAACCCCGCATCGTGGAGAAAGGGTCAACTATTGGCCTCGCCTGGAATTAGATTTTCAGTGGACTCCGTGTCCGCCCCGCGTCGAGCCCCATGTAAGTAAATTTTAATTTTCATTAATTAAACGAGTTTTACCCATTTTTAATTAAAATACCCCGACCCATACCCCTTATAACCCCCTAAGTCTTCAGTAAATCCCTAATTATTTCCCCTAAATCACGAATTTTTCCCACATTCTCCCTTTCGTTCAATTTTCCAACCTTCATCCGTAACGCGGAGTCGAGGCAACCATTTTCCCTATCGATTTTCCCCGATCTCACGACTGCAGGTATGTGTTCTGAGTTTTTCCTATGCGATGTTTATGTTGTTGCTCTGCATATCTGTTGTTTTAGGAAGTTGGGGTGGGAAATTGGAGGGAAATTGTTTGAAGTTGATGGGTTGTGGTGTGAGGGCAGTTTTTCATGTGTCTTTAGGTGATTTCAAATTTTTGAGTAGAATTACATAATTGTTATGGACCTGTGGACTTGGAGGATTTGTGGGAGTTGGAATTTCTTTTGCATGCTCTTACTTGAATTTTGTGCTATTATGATGGTTGGTTAATTGTGTCTGTAAGCCATAACTAGTGTCAGCTAAGGGTCTATAGTGTTGAATTCTGAGTAGACATTATGTTGGTGTTGAATATGTGAATGGTAAGTGTGCTTGACGGTATTGGCTGACCGATATTGTGCATTCATAGGTCTAGATTATTTGTGTGAAGTCTTGAGTAACACTACTAATTGTTGCGTGGTTATAATTAATATTGTAATGCCCATTCGGTTTGATGAACGTGACAATTCCTTAAGTATGTTGTTGGTCATTTTGGGGAAGTTTGAGTACCTAAGATGACACTGCATTGAGCTAAGTGTGGGGTGAGGGTGGCAAACATATTTGATTTGTACATATATTTCTATTGTTGAACATTGTTTGAGTCTGTTTTGTCTTTGGTTTGTTTTATTTTGGGTTCCTTAGAGGTTGTTTTCGGTTCTTTGGCCAAGGATAGTCCATTTGAACCGTACAAAATAAAAAAAAAGATTTCTTCTTTATAGAATTGAGTCTGTAGTCATAGTTGAGTGAAGTTGTCCAATGATAGATTGATGATGACTGTCTTAAGGGCAATTTCATCATTGAGTCTTAGGTTTGGTTGTGTTGAAGCTGAAAGTCTGAAAGGAATATGCATGAAAAACATGGTTGAAATTGATGTATGAATGCAGTTG